TTTTTGAGACAGGGTCTCGATATGCAGTTCAGGCTGCCCTGAGCTTACTTTGTAGCCCAGGCTGGTCTCGAACTCACAACGATCCTCCTGCCTCAGCCTCCTGAGTGCTGGGATTACAGGCGTGCGCCACCACGCCCAGCACCCCAGCCTGGTCTTGAACTCTCAGTAATCTTCCTGCCTCAGCCTCCCGAGTGTTGGGATTACAGGTGTGCACCACCACACCCGGTTAATTTTTTGGGCGGGGGAGTACTGGGAATTGAATTCAGGACCTTGTGCTTGCTAGGCAGGCACTTGTTGCACTGAGCTATATCCCCAACCCTCTTCTCAATTCTAAGACATTGTTAAGGTGGATAATTTTTCACAGAAAAAGCCTGTCATACAGGTGTGCCCAAATGTAAAGTATTTGTTGGGACCCAGGAATTGTGGTCCGACTGGGACCATGCTGTGATCTGAATGGTCTTGGGAGTTCTGGGGCCCTTTGTGGAGCATCCTGCTGGGTGCTGGGGGGCTGTGGTTCTTGGCCTACTCTTCTGGAGTTGACTGGAGTTATGTGAAGAGCCTGAGGCTTGGGGCTTCCTTGCTGCCATGCCAAGGAATTAGCATGGCCAGGTGTGGCTGTTCTTACTTGTCTTTTCTTAGGAGTTAGCAGGGTGCTTTTGCCTGGGCTTACAGCAGCAAGAGGGGGCAGTATGTGTTAAGATTGTGGCTCATTGATAGGGCACATGAGGCCCTGCATTCAGTGCCCCCCCCCCCCCAGCAGGTGAGCAGGAGATGTGTAATGGCTCTGATCGCAGGTTTTGGGATCAGGCAGTCCTGTGTACAACAAAATTTCTTATTTCCTAAGAAGAATGTGACACCATGGACATAAATTGCATGAAGTGTTTGACAGAGCCCCCAGGTGACAAAATGGACTGGTAAATTATTGAGCTGAACTTTATTAGCAACGGTGCAGCTGGCAGCATTTATCAAGTGGGTATCTGTTTTTTCAGGACTTGAAGAGACTGAAGACTTATCTGGCTCCAGATTCTTTGTAAGCTGGAAGATGAGTAACCAGTGGGCATGAGAGGCTGAGAACATTCGACTTTGCTGCAAACCTTGGTGTAGGTCACTTCCTTTTCTGTAGGTTGGAGCCAGAGAGCACAATGAGTACAGTAAGTTTTACCACCTTGTGAATTTTATTTTCAGGGCTAAGCAACTATCTTCTTCCTTGCAGCACATTAAATTGTGGATAGTAAGGTGCTTCCGGGCAACTCTGGTTCTAGAAAGAGAGCATGTTTCTGTCAGTTACACCAGCCTTCCAGCCCCAGCTGAGTTCCAGGTACCAAAGGTAGCGCCCAAGACAGAAGGCTGAGAAGGAGCCCTAGAGGTGGGCTTCGAGTTGTACAGTGATACCTTCTGAGCAGTTGTCCATATCCTGGAAATAAGAAGGCTTTTTGAGTTTTTTACCTACTTGTAGGTCAGTTTGCCCTTTTCCTTTCTGTGTGGTTTACCTGTCTTCACCCTGAGCCTGAAGGCAACACACTGCTGAGGGGCTAATTATGGCCAGTAACCAGCACTTCAGTCACAAGACTGACGTTTAAGCTGTCATCACACCCTGAGGCAGCTGCATTTTGGTGCAGCCCCCATGTCCCCTGGAGCTCCTTGAGGTCTAGAGCAGATCCCCTCGGTGTCCTGCCATGTCTGCTGACAAAAAACACTTTTTTTTTTTTTTTTTGAGGCAGGGTCTCACTGTGCAGTTCAGGGTGGCCTTGAGCTCCCTCTGTAGCTCAGGCTGGTCTTGAACTCGCAACAATCCTCCTGCCTCAGCCTCCCGAGTGCTGGGATTACAGGCGTGCACTACCACACCCGGCTCAAAAAACACTCTTTAAGGTTGCTCTTCTGCTCTAAACCCAGAACAGGCTGAGTTCCTTGTCTGGTGGCACAGCCGAGCTGCCATTGTGTTGTGAGGTTGGGGAGGGGGCGGTGGCAGGAGGAGGGATCAGGGAGGGGCTCCTTCGGGTTTCCCCCGTGCCCTCTGACTCCTATGGCTCCTCTCTTCCATTTCGCCCTGACTGCTTCTGGCCAGCTGTGTACCTCCACACCTGCTGTTGCTATTTGTACAGTGGGGTCTGTGTCCCTGGACCATCCCCTGCCTTCGCCCTTGGCCTGTTATCTGGGATTGCGGCCCTCACTTATTTGCAGGGAATAGATGTTCTCAGCCCTCGCTCAGGATCTCCATCTCTATACAGATAGAATCTGGGCAGGCTGTACAATGTTGGCTGGGCTGGGTATGTAGCTCAGTGGCACAAGCACCTGCATGGCAACCACAAGGTCCTGAGTTTGATTTCTGGTACCAAAAAATACATAAATAAACAGTGTTGGCTTAGAGACAAACAGAGTAGAAATTGGCTGCTGGGCATGGTGGCACACACCTTAGTCCCGGCAGGTAAGAGGCTGAGGCTGAGGCAGGAGGGTTGCCTCAGTAGGGCTATGTAGTGAGTCAAGGTTGACCTGGACTACATAGCAAGATCTTGCCTCAAAAGCAAAAATCAAAATAATAATAATAAACTAGTTTAAATTTCTAAAAGCTAGGGCCTAAATAACTTCCATGGTCCTGATTGGGTGGTCCAGTTTCACCTGGTGTGAACCGCTACTGGCTGAGCTTGTAAAGAGGAGAGTCATGGCCCCAATAATGGGTGGGCAAAGAGGAGCCGCCTTCAGATAACCCGTCTGCTCTCAAGAAGTAGGGGTGAAAGAAGACCAGACCCCCAGCCCAGTGGAGGAGGGGTGGGCTGTCCTCCAGAGGGAGGTGATCTTTGAGTAGTTCTTGAAAGCTGACAGTGGAACTCAGCTGTAGTTTGAAGCTCTGTGCCCCTGAAGCAAAGAGCTGTCCATCCCACATAAGTGCTCATGTCTGTCTGCTGTGCCCGCCTCAGAAAATGGGGGTTAAACCCAGGACCTCGGGAATGCTGGCAGGTACTCTGCCGTTGAGCAACATTCCCCAGCCCTCCCCTTTGTTCCTGTTTGTTCCATGGTCCTGAGGATTGTGCCCAGGGCCTTTGTATTGAGCTACCTCCTCAGCCCTTTCTCACTTTTTTTTACAGGGTCTTGCTAAGTTGGGGTCAAACTTGGAATTCTGCTTCAGCCTGCTGAACCTCTGGGGTTCTAGGCATCTATCACATCCTGTTTCCTGTGGGAGTTTCGAACCTTCCATGGCTCTGTACCCTTAGATTGTTGGGAAAGTGCTAAGTGCAGGTTCAGTTCCAAAGCTGAGTTTGCTCAGGTAATGGTGAAAATGCAGGAGGAATGAGGCTTCTCTCTGTTGCCTGGAGTTGGGCCAGTGGTGGATGTTCTCATTCTCATGTGACTCTCCCTTTAGTGTCCAGTCCTTGAGTTTCAGGGGGCAGCGTGCACCTGATGAGGTGCCTGGAGTTGGAACAATGACACCTCTTCCACCTGTGCCCTGTACTGTCCAGGTGTCAGCTCATGTCCTGCAGCAGCTCTGAGAGGCTGGGGCTGATGAAGAATTCTGTGCTCTGGAATAAGTGTCCCGGGTTCCCAGTGTGAGGGCCAGCAGAACAGAGGACAGGGGATTTGAGCACCAGAACACGACTTAGCATAAAGACTGATTGTTTAATGTAAACATTTTACTCTGGAATTCCTACTTACTGTGTTTTGGATGATTTGTCTGAACAGTCGGTGTGTGCCAGTCTTGGGTTTTGAGAGGACCCCAGCCTCGGCCACTTGCTGGCTTTGCACTCTTTGGCTGAATCATTCCCATGTTGAACTCTTTATTCTTCCTTTTTCCCTTAACACTCTCAGAGAAAGCGTCGCGGTGGAACAATAAGTTCTAGACAAGCCCAGAAGCGAACTCGGGAAGCAGGCACCACCCCCGAGATTGCCATGGATCCAGAACCCATAGAACTTGAGGAGACAGGTAAGACTGCCAGGACCTCTGTTAGAGTGGGGGGCAGAGCATACTAGGCCTAGTCAGTACCATTATTGCCGCCTATATACCAGCCTCCTCGTGTGTTCTGTGCCGTGAGAACCCCTTTTCCTCCTCTGCGGTGGGAGTAATAGGTGCACCTGTGGCACGGTGTTATCGTAAGGTCAGAACACAATGGTGGAGACGGTGCCTGGCAGATGTGCCACAGTCGGCCATTAGAAGTTCCTGTCAGTATCTTCATACAGCCTGTGCAATGTTTTTTTACCCACCTGTCACATCTTAAGGGTGCATCTTTGGTGCCCGAAGGCCTGCATGAGTTTAAAGCAGCCACTCACCTGGGCCAGCCCTTTAGCCCCCTCATCGGAAGGCAGACAGGGAGGGGAGACTGCCCTGACCTCTTTGAAAGCACCCTGATATGCTCACCTTGTAAAGTACTTGGCTTTCCTCTTCTGTTTCTCATTAAGACCAACACTCCCAGGAAGGCAGACAGCTCAGTAGAGTTACCTGCATCCAGTTTGGTTTAGGCAGAGGCCAGATTGGATTTTCCCTTTGGCCTGCTGAACAAAGTGTCAGATGGCCCAAGTCATGTCCTTTGTTCTGTGCATAGCAAGGGAGTTTTTATAACTGTAATGCCAGAGAACTAACAGTTTGAAGAAAGGCAGCTTGCACCTTCAGGAGTGCAGCTCAGTGGTATTCTCACTCACTTGGGTGTGCATGAGACTCTGGGATCCATCCCCAGCATCTCAAAAAAAAAGAAAAGGAAGGTGTGTAGGGTGTATATACCATGGAGCGGGAACCTTGGGGCCATGTTAGAATGAAAGTGAAGCAGCTTCTTGTGAGATGCATTTCATGGGGCTCTCTGTGTGATCTGAGTCTCACCTCTTCCAGTAAATTCTTAAAGTTCTTCACTTCTTCATCTAGGCCCCAGCCCTTGACTCCCACCGCTGGTGCTGTCTCCAGTGTAACACTAAATACAGTCGTGGTCTCATGGAGGACTTGGCAGCTCAGGCCCAAAAAGAATCCAGCTGCTTTCCGATGTGGCACTTGTCATCCTGTGGGCTGTGTCCCACGGAGCAAGGCAGAGGCTTGAGCTGGTCCAGGAGTACTACCTTGGTCAGGGCAGACTTGTGTCTACTGCACACAGTGGCTCGGTGAATTAACGGAGTGCCAGTGTATGAGCGAGTAGGCGGCCGCTCATTTATTGGTGGCACTGTGGGTTGACCCAGAACCTTTACATTGAGCTATATCCCCAGCAGTCTTTGTTTTTTATTTCAAGGTAGGATGAGTTAGTTTTAAGTGAATGGCCCACCCTAGGCACAAACTTGTAATCCTCCTACCTTAGCTCTCAGACTACTGTGATTGTAGACACACACACCTCTGCCACTGTCTGGCTCTGAAATGTTAAATACAAATGTACTTCATTTAATGACTGAGCCTGTTCCTGAGAGGGTAGATGAATCAATCACGGAATGGGGAATTGTGTATAGTATGTATATCACAATAATCAGAACAAAGAAATGATCAAAGGGAACTCCACCTTGATAGCTTTGCTTTGATTTACCTAACTCCTGCATGCAATGCTGTGATGTATAACAGAACATAAAACTGCGGTGCTGTACAGCACAATCAGCAGAAGTCACAGCACTGTATAAATGGGTACTGTACAGAAAAGACATTGAGGCTTTGACAACATAGATGTACAGAACTGTACAAAGAAAAAGTACAGATTGTAAGATAGGGCATTAAACAAGGAGTACCTACTATAGGAAAATGGGAAAAAATTATGTCAAATGCATTACAAATCACTTTCCCTAAACAAATTTTAAATGAACACTCTTTCTAAAAATCTTGCCAGGCATGATGGTGTATACCTGTAATCCAGCTACATGGGAGGCTAAGGCAGGCGAATCATACATCTGAGGGCAGGCTAGGCAACTTAGTGAGACCCAGTCTTCAAAAATTAAAAAAAAAAAAAAAAAAAGTTTAAAAAATCTTAACCTTACGCTTTTTAATTGAAACAAAATGGCTATAGGTCTCCCTCCCCCAATTTATATAAATGGAAGATGCACACTACCCCTCTGTTCCACCTGCCAGAAATAGCTGCCTTTGTCTAGTCTGCATCCTTCCCACCCTCAGTATGCATCAGAGCTCAACAGGCAGCTGTGAGATTGATCCTGCCTGTTCGGGCATGTCGGGTTTCTAGGGCACCCGTGATAAATGTCACCTGTTCCTGTGAGTGATGGGCATTAGAGAGATCAGTGGAGGTAACCTATCTGCTAGAATCCTCCCACCCAACAAGATTGCTGCTCAGGGCGTGGCTGTGTGGGCATGTGGCACAGTGGGTAGTGGTACCCAAGCACCCCTCTGAGCAGAATACTGGAAGGGCCTTTTTTGGTCTTTTTTTTTTTTTTTTTTTTTTTTGGTTTTGGTTTTTCTCCGGTACCGGGAACCGAACTCACGACCTTGCGCTTGCCAGGCAGGCGGCTTTTGCCGCTGAGCTAAATCCCCAACCCCCCCTTTTTTGGTCTTGATTCTCTGTTGGTCAGAAGTTTTTAGTTAGGGGGCCAAACTTGTCCCACACTAAGGCCATATCTCCGCAGCCCAGAGGATTCCATATGCCCTCCCATTGCTCACCCTTGCTGATGTGCTTTATTTTGAAGCTGGAGATGAAATCGTGGACCTTACATGTGAATCATTAGAGCCGGTGGTCGTCGACCTGACTCACAATGATTCTGTTGTGGTAAGTGTTTACATGGGACAGTTGGCTGCCTTCGTGGCATGGGTCACTGGTCGGCACTGGCATCTGACTGAAGACCTGGGTCACAGTTTACAGGTCAAGGTCACTGCACTTGCGCCATGGAAGCCCAGACATTGATTGACTGGGACCTAGCATGAAAAAGCATTCAGGAAAATCATCTGTGTGGCTTTGTTGCCGAGGGAGTAGGTTTTGTTCTATCTGTGTGTTTTGTGCTGGGAATCGAACTCATGACTTTGCACTTGCTAGTCCAGTGCTTGAGCCACTGAACTATATATCCCCAGCCCAAGGGAGTAGGTTTTGTGACCCTGATCTTTGGGCACAGAAGTACTTTGGGGAGACTCCTGAGGCCCCCACACTTCTTCCATCCCTGCTTCCACAGTATACACCAGCTGTGTGACTGTGGGCATGTTACTTACCCTTGTTGGTTTCTTCAGTACAGTGGGGACAGGTAACTGTGTCGGTAGTCACCGGGAGGACAAGGGTGCTTGCTACCTGGCGTGGCCCTGGTCAGTGAGTTTCTGCCCTCTCGGTGTAGGGAATGGGTGGATTTGCTCTACACAGCTACGTGGCAGCTCTGAGGTGCCACACACAGTTGCCAGCTAGCACTGTTCTGGGGAAGCAGGCTCCCTGCCTTACCACCTGGTGCTGGCTCCAGGGAGGATGGCACCTGCCAGCCCTTGTCCCCTTCCCATAGGACCTGTGAAGGCTCTGGCAGGGAGTAGGTGCCATGAGGGGACTGGTCCTGTCAGTTGTGAAGCAGCTGGCTCTGGCAGACCTGCTCTGTGGAGCCAGGGACCCAGACACCACTGGACAGTGTCAGGCAGGAATGTGGCAAGGAATGCCTAGGACTGTGCAGTACAGGAGCAGAAGGTGCTGGTTGCCAGGTTGCCCCTTTGGCCCTGGAGCTCAGAGTTGGTGTCATCGTGAGTGGATGATGGCGTCAGAACATGGACAAACCATCAGCCTTGCTTCCTGGCTTGCTTAGAACTTCAAAACCAGTTCACTGAGAAGCCACAGGACTTGGTGAGGACAAGGAGCTATGGTGACAGATGTGACATCTGGTCTTGGTTAGAAACCACTGGTATGTGCTGTTGTCACCCCTTGCACCTTGCAAGGGCTGGGGTGACCTCAGGGGTTGTTGGAAGATGGGCAGGTGCCCCCCAAGGCCTGTGCACACACTTGTTTTCTGAGCGTGTGCACACGTTGAACCTCAGCACTCCTCCCAGTAGCTCCCCTGAACCCAGGAAAGTGCTTCATTTGGTGCTGGGCTGAGGCTGCAGCCCAGGAACTGCCAGTGCTGGAAGGGGCTGTAGACCCTTGTCCTCTAGGACTGGCATCCACCTCATCGTGGGGGATTGTGCCCCGGGAAGGCAGCATTTAATGTTTGATGGGCAGCAGCATTATCCTCTCATGCCCTTTGCTTGGTTTGCCAAGACTGCTTTTGCCTGTTTACTGCTGAACTTTCCTATCTTCATGCTGTTCCAAGCTTGGCCTCAGTGAGGCCAACCTGGGTGCACACCTTGAGAGCTGCCCTGGGCATCACTGGATGGCCAGTGACAGAGCAGGCTCGTTCCTTTCCTTCCCCTCCTCCTCCTCCCTCCCCTCCTCCCTTCTCCTCTTCAGAGACATATTCTCACTCTGTAATGCTGGCTGGCTTTGAACTCTCAGCAATATTCCTGCCTCAGCCTCCCAAGTGTTGGGATTGTAGATGTGTACCAACACATTGTTACTTTTCATAAATCCAAATGCCAACTTACTAAAGTACCCTAAGTCTGAAATTCTACTTTTCTAAGCGCAACTGGTAGGGAAGCCTGATAGCATTAACTCTAGATGAATTGTGTTCAAGATGACCAGATGCTGGCTGTGGAGTGTGGGAGACTGATAAGCATTGTTCCCATTCCAGAGTCAGGTGATCTTAATTGTTCCTGGTGAGTCTTGGGACAGCCCTCCCGCCCTCTTCCTCTTTCAACCTCAGTCTCTAAGGAGGGTTCCTGGCCTCTATAATGCAGCGGCATCTTTCAGGATACCTGCAAACCTCGGAAGCCTCTTCAGACTAGAAACTGCAAGTGCCCCTGGCTATTTTTCCAGCAGTCACAGAAATCTAAAGCCTCCAAAGCGCTCAGGCAAATGCAAAATGTGTAACAGTCAGACTTTGTATGACTCTGCTCCAATCATTTCTCGAAAGCTAACTTTATTGGCATTGAATAACCCAGAAAGTACCATTCCTGGGTCCCAGGGCATAAATATTTCTGATTTTTTTTTACTAGATTAAAGGGGAAGTATTTTCCATAGGCTGTGTCAGTTAATACTTGCACTAGTGTTTGAGGTTCTCCTGTTCCCTCTCTTTTTTTTTTTTTTTTTTTTTGGTTTTTCTCTGGTACTGGGAACCGAACTCAAGACCTTGCACTTGCCAGGCAGGTGCTTTGCCGCTGAGCTAAACCCCCAGCCCTCCTGTTCCCTCTCTTTTCCACTGTGTGTGTGTGTGTGTGTGTGTGTGTGTGTGTGTGTTACTTGGGATTGAATCCAGGGGCACTGAGGTACATTGCTAGTCCTTTTTAATTTTTATTTGTTTTTGTGGTGGTTAGGTTGAGCCATAGGTCTTCACACTGAGCTATATCCCCACCCCATTTTATGTTTTTTTATTCGGAGATAAGCTCTTGCTAAGTTGCTCAGGCTGGACTTGAACTTGTGCCTCAGGCTCTCAGAGTGCTGGGGCTCCAAGTGTGTGTCACACAGACCTGGCTTTATCTTTTACTTTTGAGACAGTGACATTGCCCAGGCTGACTTCAAATTAATTATTAGTTCTCTGATTTAACTGGGATTGAACTCTTCCATGTTTATTGGTGGTTGATTTTGCTCTTTTGTGAATTACTTGTTTGAAATTTTACAGCTTTTACCTGAGCCTAGTGGTGGACACCTGTAACCCCAGCACTCAGGAAGCTGAGGGAGGAGGATTTCCCCGAGTTTGAGGCTAGCCTGAAATACATAGTGAAACCCTGTCTCAAAGAAAAATAAGAAAGAAATTTTACAACTTTCAATTTTAATTAAACTTTAAAAGTTGTGTTATTTCAAGTCCAGCTATAAGTATCCTGGAACAGTCGTCTGTTTACCTTCACAGCGTCCTGATAGTCATGCTCTCTCCTGCTTGGGTTTTCATTGAGCCCCTGCTGGCAGGGCCTGCTTCAAGAGATGTCCTTGCAGGTGGTAGCAGGGCCTGTAAAGGACACAAGGACTGTGGGCCAGCAGCATGGTGGGGGGTGGGTGGATCCACGCTGGGCCTTGGGTGCCTCTGCCAGTGTTGCCAGGAGCAGCCCTTGGGTTCCTCTGTCGGAGCAGGTTCTGTCTCTGCGGCATCTCTCCGTGCCGGCTGTGGAAATGCAGCTATTGGCCTGGGCATTGCTCTTGACTCTGCCTCACCTGCCTCACGGGCTTCTTGTTTTGGGTGTTCTGACCACACTCATACTAAAAAAGCACTGATGACTGGCTCTGGTGACCAACCGAGTATGCCTGCTGCAAGTGTCCACTTAATTTTTTTTTTAAACCAAAAATTGAAATCACAACCTCACACTTGGCAGGCAGGCGTGCTGGCCACTGAGCTATATCCCCAGCCCTTCACTTGGTTTTAAAGACTGTGTTTCCTGCTCTCCAGAGACAAGAAAGAAACTGCAAGCCTGTGAACCCTACACTTTGGGAGGCTGTGGCAGAAGGATCAAGTGTGAGCCCAACCTGGGCAGTTTGGCCCCTTAGCAAGATCCTGTCTCAAAATAGAAAATAAGAAATGGCGGGAGTACATGTACCAAGTCTCCTCAATGAATGTAATTGTATTGCCTGTGTATACTGATAAAAAAGTTAAAGCTGGGTGTGGTGGTGAATGCCTGTGTTCCCAGCACTTGGGAGGCTAAGGCAGAGGATTGTCACCATGAGTTTGAGGCCAGCATAGGGGCCAGGCTGAACTATACAGTGCGACCCTGTCTCAAAAATCCAAAATGGGGGCTGGGGGATGTAGCTCAGTGCAGAAGCCCTGGAGGTACCTTCAGTAACATGAAAGAAAAAGAAAAAAGAAGCAGGGCAGAAGAAAAAGTAGAATATGTGTCCTTCAATTCTGGGCCAGTTCCCCACAGACATAACTGAAGTGTTCAGGCCAGGGGTACTTGGTGGTCCGCACCTGTAGTCCCAGCCAGCATTCAGGAGACCTAAGCAGGAGGAGCACGAGTTAGAGGCCAGTCTGAACTATACAGACCCTGTCTCAAAAAACTAAAACAGAACGGGAGGGGAGCAGTCTGGCCATCCAGACCAGAGGTCTTGAGCTGTTTGATTTTCTGTCCATCTGTCAGCCCTTCCAGTGGACTTTGATGGTGCCCCATACACTCCCCATCCCCAGCAAGCTCTGCAAATTCAGGGACAGCACGTCCACGGCTCTGGAGATGCTAGCTGAGCCTCCCTTTGAGAGTCCCCCTTTTCTTTCTTTTTTTTTTTTTTTTTTTTGTACCGGTAATCAAACTCAGAACCTTGCACTTGCCAGGCAGGTGCTTGTGCCGCTGAGCTATATCTCCGGTGAGACCCCTTTTCTAGATCTCTGGACAGCACTGTGCAGCCCATGTTCCCAGGAGTATGGTGCCCAGGTTTCCAGTCGCCCTCTGCAGGCTCTGGGAGAGATGCATCCCTAGCCCCATGTGGATTCTTTTCTCATCTGCAAAGGAAAGGCCCTGTGTCTGGGGCACCAGGGTTTAGCTGTCAGGAGCTGAACCTGCTCTGGGCATGCTCAAGCCAAGGGTGATGTACATGGTACTAGGGGCTTAGAAGAGCCAGCTGCAGGCTAGATCTCTGGGCTTGGGCCAGAGCTTGGGAGCTGGGATCTGTCTCTGTCCCTGCACGAGTGCCCTTGGCAGAAGGAGATAGTGCTGCAGCCCAGTGATGGTGAATCTTTAGCACTTTCAGTGATACTTCAGCAGGCTTCCAGTAGCCTGCTGGAGGCAAAGTTTAGGAGGCAGTGCCCTTGCAGTAGCATGACTGTCTGACAGGAGCACTGCTACAAGGGTGTCAGATGGCATTAGACCTTCATGTCACTGCAGGGTAGGGCACTTGCTGAGTGTGCCTGCGGGGTTGTGGCCAACAGAGACAGGCACAAACTACCCCTCAGATGGCTGGTGTCCAGCAGACCAGAAGGGCGCCCTGACCTGGTGCACCCTGTTGTGGCAGAAACGTCTTCATGTGCCTTCTGAGCCCCAGGCAAGGGCTTGTGGAGTCTGTCAGCCCTGGGGTGTCACTTCCTAGTCCACACCTGGCCTGCTTCTGTTTAGTCATGTGAATAAGCGCAGGCACTGCAAACCCTGCTCAGGTGAAGGCTACCTCTTTTTCAGTGGTTGGCGTTTTGTTTTGTTTATTTTGGGTACCGGGAATCGAACTCAGGACCTCGCTTTTGCCAAGCAGGGCAGTGGTTGGCATTTACACAGCTCATGGCTTCTGCTTTTGAGAATAAGAAGCTGCAGCTTCTCATTTGCAAACAGTGCTGGCCTCTGGCATCAGCTGCTGGGAGGCAGTGACTTCAGGGAGTGTGGAGGGTGACCAGGTAGGCAGGGGTTCTCTAGAGGTCTCATGCTAAGAACTCTAAATGTGTCTGTCACTGATGTCAAACTAATTGCATTTCTCTTTTGTTTTTTTCCTCCTTTTCCAAAGATTGTTGAAGGTGAGTGGTTTTGTCTTTTTTTTCTCTGGGTTTGGAGAGAGCCGGTGTGGGTGGGGGCTGCAGCCCTGCAGGCCTGCTGGACTGCCTTTAAGGGTGTGAGAACCCAAGCAGAAATGTACCCACAATCAGTCGCTGGGGCCCATCAGTCCTCTGGGCCTTCTGGAGAGCTGCATCCCTGTGCCGTGTGAGCTGTTCTACCTTGAGGCCCCCTGGGTGGCAGAGAGGGCTGTCAGCGATGAGAAAAAAGGCCTCAGGCAGGTGGGCTTTCTCGGGTGGCAGTGGAGGGACAGAAGTCTCTCTCTGGTGCCTCAGGGAGTGGGTCCGAGAGGTCCAGGGCGCTGCTGAGCAGGAGTGTCCACCTGAAAACCGATTCTCATCTTAGAGAGAAGGCGGCCGAGGAGGACCATGAGGAGCCAGCGCCAGGACCACTCGGACAGCTGTGTGGTGAGCAGCGATGACGAGGAGCTCTCCAGGGACAGGGATGTGTATGTCACCACCCATGCTCCCCGAAGTGCCAGGGACGAGGGTGCCACAGGACTAAGGTACTCGAGAGCCCCTGTGCTGTGTGTTGGGGTGGGAGGCCAAGGGCTGGTGTAGTGGGGCCAGAGCTGACTAGACCAAACTGTTTCCAGTGACCAGGGTGGGCAGGGCACCTGCTTACCCCATTTTTCCAGGCCAGGAGGAGACTGCCCTAGGGAGACTGCCCTAGGGAGACTGCTTCCCCGGGTCTCCTGAGCCTGTGGTGAGGAGGTAGGCAGGCCCATGGGGGGGCTCTTGTGAGAGGCAGCAGGATGATGGAGTGTTGTGTTTGCTGAGAAACTGATGTGACACACTGTGGTTTTAGGCCCTCTGGCACCGTCAGCTGTCCCATCTGCATGGACGGATACTCAGAGGTGAGTGGCTTTGTTTGGCTTCCTCTTCCAGGTGAGTACCTCCCTGGAAGAACTAGAGGTGGCAGGCTGTGCTCTTCAGAAGACCCCTGTCTGGGCTGTCCTGCGTGGCCTGGCTTGCTGCAGAGCTGTGTGCAGAGCACATGTCAGTTGCCCTGCATCCTGCAGGCTTAAGCTTCCTGTGCTCAGTGTGGGCTACCTTCTGGGTTCCCCATCCTGTGCCCAACTACAGGCTGTTGGTGTTCACCAAGCTCCCTTGTCAGTCTGTTAGGCGTCTCCTGCTGGAGACGGGGTTCCTACTGTGCCCTGGCCCTTCCTCCCCCTGCTTCTCATCTCAGTGCCAGCAGGAAAGGACACATTCGAAGGCTATTTTTCTTGTCTCCTAGATTGTGCAGAATGGACGTCTCATTGTCTCTACAGAGTGTGGCCACGTCTTCTGTAGCCAGTGCCTCCGTGATTCCCTAAAGAATTCTAACACTTGCCCAACTTGTAGGAAGAAGATAAGCCACAAACGGTACCACCCCATTTATATATGAAGATCTCTGAGCCTCCCAGGAGAGCCAGACGGACAGACAGACAGCCTGGCTGGGCTCTCTGCATGCTCTCTGCCTCCAGTTTCCTGAGCGCAACAAGACTGTTTCAAAGCCAACATCTTATATGTAAACTGCTCTTTCCTTCCCCATCCTCTTAGATCTTTTTGTTATCTCAAGTTTGATGCTATGGAGTTGCACCCAGGGACGCTCCAGGCCTGGCTCCTCACCTTTGCTTCTCTTGGGTAGCCTGGTCCTAAAGTAGGAGCAAGAGGAGTGAGGCATAGTAGACTTTGAGGACTGGGCTCCAGCCTTTGCAGAGTCTGCTCGTGTGCCAAGAAGTTTCCCTGTCGGAAGGTGTGCTCAGCTCTCCCGGGAGCACGGCCTTCCCAGGCATCTGGCAGTCGCCTGATCTCCTCTGCCTGCCACCCAGTGCTCGAGCCAGACCTGGCCCACTTGGCCCAAGGATCCCGGTGCAGGGATGGCCCCTGGACTTTCCTTCCCTCGGGGTCAGAGGTGACCTGCAACGCTGCCTGTATCTTACCATTGATGTGCAGTGTTCTCTGCAAACCTTGAGGACCTCTGCAGGGCAATCCCTGTTTCCTAAGAACGAAAAGTGCAATAAAGCCCGTTCTCACCCACGTCTCAGCAGTCAGGAGGTGGCGCTGCCACCTCAGAGTCCTTGAGCCGTCTGCGGAACAGTGCCCATCTGCCTGTCTCTGCGTGCCAGCCCTTCTCAGGAACCTTCCCGTGCTCCAAAGCTCCCCACCTGGCACAGGACACGTGGGCCAGGGAGCAGGGGCACGTCTTGGTGTCCTCCTGTCTGATGAGAGCCGTCCTGCGCCGGCCGCGTGCCCTCCGGCCCTCTGGTCCTCCGTTCCCACTGCCCCTCGTACGGGGTGGTGGCAGCAATTGTGGCCTTATAGCCGCTCATTTCCATGTCTCCGCCCAGGTCACTGTCTCCATTTCAGAGATGTTGGCCCGGCCGACCTGACGTGGCACTGGCTTGGCTTGTCCCCCCTCTCCCACCGGGTGACACTTATTTCTAAAGCTGCTTTTCACCTGCTCTGTAGGGTTTGGGTTGGCAAGCCTGGTGGCTGTCCCTCCCAACAGAGCCCAGCTAACGCTCAGCCCACAGATGTGTGGTACCTCGGGGCCTCTAAAGGGCAGCAAGGTGACCTGAACTGGCTGTAAGGGCACCAGGACCCGGGGCAGCAGACAGTGGTCACGTGGGGCCAGCCTGCTCCACCACACTTCCATTCTCAGAGCTTTGAGCCAAGCCAGTAGCTGTTGGCGTGACACATCTGCAAGGTGGAGAAGGGCCACTCTGGCTTTGCTAGCAATAACTGACCTTCAGGCCCCCTCTGAAGGAGCAGGGACTCAGCACAGAATTCACTTTACTTGGGGCTGAAGGAGCATCCCTCCTCTATGTGAACAGAAAGTGGTTTATTCTTCATTCTTTTTTTTTTTTTTTTTTTACCTTTTTGGATTACTACCAGATCTTTTGAATGAGTACTAATTTTCTCCATGAAGTGAGAGGGGTGGAGCACCAGCCTCCATCACTGTAGTGTAGTGGGCCTGCCCTCCACTTGGTCATCGTGGTCATCACGGCCACTGAGTCCCCTCTGGTCATCAGCAAGATGCCCTCGTTCAGTTCTCATGCTGCCCAGAGGGACAGCCAGGCAACCGTGCTGCTGTTGACCAGTAAATGTAACATCCATTTCAAATTCATGTTTCATCTTAGTGCACACATGGTGGATCCTAAAATTATATTCATCCTAAAGTGAACTGGGAAAAATGTGTTAGTTTCTACTCATCAAAATCTGCAAACTAGGAAAAGGCTGTGTGAGAAAAATCCCTTTCCTCAATGTACATAGTTCAATTCTTTCTTTGTTATGTTTAAATTGTATCCATGGACATCAGTCTGTTTTGGACTCCTGCTAGTGTTAAAGATGAAAATAAAACCATTAATTTGAACCCAGTGTGTATTTTATGTGTTGATTTGCTCAAGTGGTGATAGGCTGAGAGTGGAGTGCGTGCGCCTCAGTGGGGAGTCCCGGCCTAGGGCCGCCTGTGGGAGTGGCGCAGAGGTGAGGGCACCTTGGAGGGGCATCTGGCAGAGCCCGGGGTGGGAGTCTGGTGCACTGAGTGCCTGTGGTGAGCACGCCACAGAGGCAGAAGTGCAACTGCGTGCTCACCTGGCTCTTCGGCCCATGCTCAGACCCCCGCCGACTTGCTTCCCTCCTGGACTGCAGAAAAAGCTAGTGCTTGAGGGCATGAGGCATCCAGGAGCTGCTGCAGGAAACTTGGCCACCTGGGGAGGGCTCTCTTGAGGAGGGTGGCCTAGCCAGTGGTGGCCATGTGCCAGAGCTGGTCTAAGAGGAAGACGACAGGACAGACTGAGCAGAGGCCTCCAGCCTCCACCCTGGCAAAGGTTCTCATCCTCTGGGTGAGGAGCTTTGGTCTGCAGGCCTCCTGCCTGAGGGTGCTCGGGGACTGGACACCCCGAGGCCCAAGGAGTCTGTCGTGAAGAAGCAGGCAGTGCTGGCCTTGCTACATGGTGCTGCTTCCAGTTCCTGCCCTGGAAGCTTTTGAATGATGGCCTTACTTTCTGGTGATGCTGTGATACAGAAACAGCTGATTTTTTTTTTTTTTTTTTTTTTTTTTTTTTTTGGTCTTTGAGACAGGGTCTTGCTATGCCATTCATGCTGGCCTTGAGGTCACTTTGTACCTCAGGCTGCCCTTAAACTTGCAAAGATCCTCCCTCATCCTCCTGAGTGCTGGGAATACAGGCATGCGCCACCATGCCTGGTGACATACAATTTGTAGTCCACCAAATCCTTGTGATCTGCCTAATTCTCATTTGAATTACAGCATTCATGCCCACATCTGCAACTGGTATTTGTCTCATGGAACTTGGGAATTCTGGCACATTAGTAAGCACATGGTGCTGGTGAACGCTTGTGCTTCAACATTTCATCAAGAGGTGTGTTTGCTACCCACGCGTTGCCAGCTGCACACGGCTACCGTCTCAGCACTCTGGGAGGCTGAGGCAAGGAGGGTCACAAGTTCAAGCCCAGCCTGAAGAATTTAGTGAGACCCTGTCTCAAAAACTAAAAAGTTACAAAAGACATGGGGTTCAATCCCCAGTGCTACCGAGAGATGCTTCACATACACTATTATAGCAAATGAGATTGAACCAGTCAGAAACTTCCCAGCACTTTGAAGGTTGAGGCAGGAGGATTCCCTTGAGTTCAAGGTCAGTGTGAACTACATAGTGAGACCCTGTCTCGTTTTTGTTTTTGTTTTTTTTTGGAACCAGGAATCAAACTCAGGGCCTCACGCTTGCCAGGCATGTGCTGTGCTGGAGACCCTATCTCAAAAAAAGAAAAAAAAGGGCTGGGGAGGTAGCTCACAGACAGAACTACATAGTGAGACCCTGTCTCAAAAAAGAAAAAGGCTGGGGAGACAGCAGCACAGGATCTTCCTGGCAAGCACAAGGTCCTGAGTTTGATTTCTGGTGCCAAAAAATGAAAACAAGGCCAGCCTGAACTGCATAGGGAGACCCTGTCTCAAAAAAAAGATAAAAAAAAAAAAAAAAAAAAAGAAAACCCCAAGACATGGTTTCACTGTTGAATTCTGTCAAACATGTAACAAGAAATTAATGCCAATCTTTTTCAAACTTTTCCAAAAAAATACTTTCTAACTCATTCTATATAGTTAGTAGTACCGAGCTACGTAAGATATTACAAGAAACCAGGACCATCTTTCATGAATATGAATACAGAAATACTAGCAAACCAAACCACAACATACTCAGCCACTGTACACCATGACCAGGGATGCAGGGTCCAAACACATTAGTACAGTGAAAGTAGGAAAGATGTGATGGAATCTAGTGCTTTCTCACAATGAAAACATGCCTGAGCCTGGCACTCCACATGGTCCTAAATTTGAGCCCAGTGTGGGCATTTATTGAGACACTGGCTTAAGAAATAAAAAAAAAGGACCAGAGATGTAGCTCAGCGTGAAGGGCCTAGGTTTAATTACTTGAACAAAAAAAATCCTATACAAAAACTAAAATTAAGCCAGGTGTGGTGCACGCCTGTAATCCCAGCACTCAGGAGGCTGAGGCAGGAGGATCATTGCGAGTTTGAGGTCAGCCTAGGCTACAAAATTAGCTCAAGGCCAGCCTGAACTGCTTAGTGAGACCCTGTCTCAAAGAGACAAAATAAATAAATAAAATTAATTGAAGCCCCCACGCATGGTAGCGCACACCTGCAATCCCAGCACTTGGGAGGCTGAGGTGGCGGGGATCATAACAAATTCAGGCCCAGTCTGGGCAACATAGTGACTTAGGGAGACCCTATTACAAAATAAAAAGGGCTGGGGATGTAGCTCAGTTGAGAAGGCCCTCAGTTCAAGCTTCAGTACTGAAAGAGCAATGGGGCTGGGGATACAGCTCAGCGGCACAGTGCCTGCTTGGCAAGTGCGAGCTTCTGAGTTCGATTCCCGGTACCTGCCCCCCCAAAAGAAAAGAAACAAAGCAAAACACTAAGAACTAGAGCTACCATACAACCACTCCTCAGTGTACGCAGGAGTTGGAGTCCGCATGCTGCGGGGACTTGCACACCCACGTGTACTGTGGCACGGTTCACAAGAGCCGCCGTGCAGAGCCAGCCTCAGTGCCCACTGCAGGTGAACAGTGGTCGGCAAAGACAGAGGGGCTGAGAGTCGGTGCTGGCCAAGGGGGTCGGTGCTCACAGTCTGTCACTTAGCCTAAGATGACAAAGCACCCTAGGTGTCTGCCAGAGAGCAGTGAGAGCCTGTGCGTATGGTGACATCTACACAATGGAATCCGACACAACGTAGTAGTCTTCCAAAATAATTACACAGAGGGGTTCAAGGGAGGAGAGGGGAATGGGAAAAAAAAGAGTTATACCAGTATACAGGTACAGCGTCTCTATGATGAGTGTGATCGTTATGTATACCTAAAATGTACCAATAAAAATCTTTTCAAAAAATACACAAGCAATCCATGGAACATTCACACAGTGGCATGCTATTCAGTGATAAAGTTGGCTATTTTAAATTTTGGAGGAAGTAATCCAGGTTGAGCCCAGGCATGCACGCTAATCTCATAATTTGCAATCCCAGCCCTTTTACTTTAGGGTTTTTTAGACAGGGTTTTGCTACGTAGTTCAAAGTGGCATTGAACTCACTTATGTAGCCCAAGCTGGCCTCAAACTTGTAGGGATCCTCCTGCCTCAACCTCCCGAGTGCCAGGATTACAGGTGTAGGTATGCACCACCACACCTGGCCTTTTGTTTTTATGAGACAGGGTCTCAATATGTAGTTCACAGCAATGGCCTCAAACTCCTCATGGCCATCCTGTTTTGAGTCCTGGGATTACACAGCTATGCCATTGTATACAGCAAGAATGAATTTTTAAAATATTTATAGCCTAGCTGGGCGTGTGGCGCATGCCTGTAATCCCAGCACTCGGGAGGCTGAGGCAGGAGGATCCCTGCAAGTTTGAGGCCAGCCTGGGCTACAAAGTGAGTTCAAGGCTAGCCTGAGCTGCATAGTGAAACCCTGTCTCAAAAAGGCAAAAAAAAAAAAAAAAAAAAAATTATAAAAAGAAGAGCTTGGAATGTAACTAAACGCTCCCTAGGTTTAATCCCTGGTAACACTAAATCAATCAACCAAAAAATGCAGCTCAGTGGTAGAGTGCTTGTATAAAATGCCCCAGATCTGAAAAAAAAGGAAGGAAAGAAAGAAGGGCAACAATATCCCTGAATCTCAAATAATTATGCTGACTGAAAAAAGACAGAGTATAGTGTATGGTGGTGCACACCTATAATCCTAGCAGTTGGGAGGCTGAGGCAGGAGGATCACAGAAAGTTTAAGGCCGCCCAGCGGTGTATTTGGAGACCTCGTCTCAAAACACCAAAAACAGGTCAGGCATGGTGGCCCACACCTTTCATCCCAGCACTTGGGAAGCTGAGGCAGGAAGACTGCTTTGACTTTGAGGCCAGCCTGGGCTACACAGTGAGGCTTTTTTGGGTAGCAGAAATCGAACTCGGGACCTTGCACTTGCCAGGCAAGTGCTCGTGCAGCTGAGTTATATCCCCAGGCCCCTACACAGTGAGTTTGAGGCCAGCCTGAACTACATAGCAAGACAAGTCTCAAACAAAACAAAACAATCCAAGATGCAAATGAGGGTTCACTCATCCCACTGGTTATGTGTCTTTGGTCTCATGTATATAGAACACCTATTCTGTTCTTTCTTTTTTAAGACGCTGACTTCTTCCTTGTTTTGTAGAGGGTCTGACATCTTGGATTTGCCTAATAATTTCTTCAGAGGCCTTTTGCCTTGATTTCCTCCTGTCCCGTATTTCCCGTACATGGAAATGATCTCTAAATGCTTATGTAGATGCATGCTCAGCATTGGGATCCCGCTCCTCCATGGCAGCCCCAGCTTCCTAGCGACGCCTGTGGGCTGTGTGCTTCCACTCACACATCTGCTTGTAGTTGTGGTGTCTTGCTCGGAGCAGCTTTGGGCTGCAGGTGAGAGGGCAACTCCTGTGCCTTAGATAACTACGGTGACAGAGTCAAAACAATGCTGATTTGCATGGCCACATCTAATTAATTGCGTCACCTCCACACACTCCCGTCCCACTTCTGCTTGTTTTTGCAGTGCAGGATGCTCTATTTTTGACCTATATTCTCAGTCCTTTTATTTTTTTTTTTTTAATTTTTTCTTTTTTTTTTTGTTACCGAGAATCGAGCTTACAACCTCTTGCTTGCCAGGCAGGTGCTGTGCCACTGAGCTATCTCCCCAGCCCATTTTTCTTCACTTTCATATGCAACAATTGTGTTTGCTTTTTTTTTTTTGAGACAGGATATTCCTATGTAGCCCAGGCTGGTCTTGAGTTTAAAAGCCTCCTGTTACCGGGCGTGGTGGCGCACACCTGTAAT